TTAGAGCCCTGTCCCCTGAATCGTCCCCTTCAGTAAATGTAAATTATGTGTACTAAAAAAACCATTTCAAATATTTTATATAAAATTATTCAAACAATATACACATAATATAGCAATGACCCTATATAAAATCAACCCTTAAAGAATTCAAAAAATTCCCTTAACAATCAAAAATTACCCTTGGCCTTGTGGCTCCAAGTTAAGATCTAGACTGTTTATATCAACAATGTTTTTTCTTGCACCTCTGTCTCCACGGAGAGAAATCACTAATTGACTTGTAGCGCGATGCGTTACTGTGCCGCGCCGCGCACTCAATAAGGCTTCTCACAGCGACATCTCTCCTGGCTAGATCGGCGAGATGCGCTACTGTGCCGCGCCGAGCTGCCATGAATTGACATCGTCAATTAATAATTGACGATTTAAGTACAGGACCATACGTGACGAGTACTCCTTTGTGCTTTGTGCTTTGTATATTTAAAGTATTTAAAAGCAGTAACTTATACGGAAAACCGCTTGCCAATTTAACGAAACATGAAATTTTAATTATTTAATGACAGCAATAATGAATTATGTTAAATGTCATTGTGCTTTAAGTTTATTGTATTTACATATTGTACTACATTCTTACTTCTCAATCCTCTCCCTCGAGTGTACAACTGAAAAACTTTTCGGAGCTAAAAAGTTGACTCAGCTAGTGGTGACAATACAAAATTGCTATCAAAATTAAAGATAATTAACATTTTGGAAACCTCTAACAAATTGCAAATGTTAACTTTAATTGTAAGTGAGGTTGTGGTTGCGAGAAGCATAATTGAGTGCGCGGCGCGTCCCAGTAACGCATCACGCTACAAGCGCGACAAGCAACAGACAAAGAAATAAAGAAGATTTGTCAAATAAAGTGCTTGCAGTGGCGCGCGCCTACCTCCGCCCTCTCGGCGCAGTGGCGCAAAAGCACATGGTTAGGTGAACTTCAAAACTACAATCCAATATAAATAAAAATAATTCCCTCCAAAAACTGTAATCAAATGAGAAAGTATTGTCATGTTCACTGATTTTATAATACACGGATCTAATTAAATATTATTAACACTTCGCGCGCAGCATCAGAAATGATACCAAGATTTGTGGTGCCAAAAGTTGGTCGATGTGCAATGTGACAAAACCTTCCTGTGTCGCCGTTAGGTGGGCGCGCGCTATAGCTATATACTGCAAGCGCTAGGGCTCTGGTTGTAGCGCGATGCACTATTGGGCCGCGCCGCACATCAAATAATTCTTCTCTCAACCTTCGGTAGATCGGCAAAATGCACCACTGGGCCTCGCCGAGCTGCGAAGGATTGACATCGTGAATCAAGGGCTAGCCCTTGATTCACGATGTTTGCTCTAACCGGAGCCCGGGAACCCTTGTGCTTTGCGCTTTGCTCTAACCAGAGCTCTGGTTAGAGCAAAGCGCAAAGCACAAGGGCTCCCGGGCTCCGGTTAGAGCAAACATTTCGCTGAAAACCGAATCACGAATGCCGATCAACTTTCGAAAATAAATTCTAGCCAATGTAATTTTTTGTGTTGGATAGTATTATTTTTTAAACAAAATCAAGCCCACTATGACATATGAAATTATTTTGCAGTAATTGCTTCACGCTTTTCAGTCTTTTGTTCTATTCGCTTTTGTCTAGCTTCGCTTATTTGTCTTTTGTTATATTCGCTTGTCTCTTAAACCCAGCTACCTGCAACCTGGATACCTCAATCCTCGCTTCGGTTACTTGAAGACCTCACTCTTTTTATTTGTGATTCTGATAAACACGATTGGAGATATAGCGGGACAACAACCTGATTTATTAATTGTGAATTGACGGATGCAGGATGGTACTGAGATACTCGTTTAAATTTCTTCCCCAGAAAACCGTAGCTGTTAGCGGGCTCGCTATAACATATAAGAGATGGTTTAATTTAAACAAATGGCTTGAGCTGGCGTGCGACATTAAGCGCGACATTAAGCATTCGTGGCAAATTCCAATCTTTAAGCAGCCAGCACGTGACACAATTCAGCCAATCAGAGGACAAGAATCTGCAAAGTTAAAATTGCAAACTTTTGATCGGCCCAAAATGAGACTTTTGATAAATAACTCAAAATCTACGTTGTCTCAAATTTCCCCCTGGGGAAAACGTTATTTTTACGAGGCGAGCATTTTGCAAAAAACTGGAAGTCCTTATTTCTGATTTCTTTTACTTTGGAAGTCGCAGCCGTGCAGCCTCTGTCCGTTTGTGTCTAGCAAGGCTGCTCGATCTTGTAGGTTGGACTCGTCGACGCGGTTTTGATTAATGATCACACAAAAATATGGTTTATCTCCAGTTTGTGTCCGTATGTGTCTTTCTAAAATACGAGGAATATTAGTCCTGTAGTCACACAGTGCACATTTGTGCTGTTTGTTAGCAAGCTTAGCCGAATTTTTAACGAACGGGGTGGCTAGTCTCCAATAGTGTCACCCAAATTGCCACGATCAGGCTCGGTAGGTGTAGGAACAGATGAGGACTTTCCTGTAGCAAGCCTTGTGTTTGATGGTGTGAGCGGAAGATTGCAATTATCACACTGAAATTCTTTGCAATCCATAGGTTTAGTATTAGTCAGGGCACCACAGAAAATCTTGAAATCTTCCATTTTTACAAAGGTCACCGATTGCGACTTTGCTTTTAAAGTGTTCTGAATTAAATTCATCCTGATCTGCCGGTACGCCTTAAGGTTCAGCTTTCAAATTGTTATTTTCGGCATCCTTCTCACATTTACAAGTGCATACTGATGATAACCAGGTTGAAGTAGTGCTAACTTGCTGGTCGTCTGTCATCTCCTCTTTGATATCGACCCCCTCAAACATTTCTGTTTTTGAACTGACATTCCTGATTAAAAATGTCGAATGAATGTTTTTCATGTTTTTAGCAAACACAATTGAACAACAACTTTTTGTACAGCTCGAAAGGAATGCGAAGGTATTAGTATTACTATTGGATGTTGTAATGCCTGAACGAAACTTTATGAAAGAATGAATTGTCCGTGTTGAAACTATAGTACGATAATATTATAATTTGTTACGACTCAATCATCAAAAATACTAAACGTTTAATCTAACAAATTTTATTTAGCAATTAACGGAAAAATAAAGTACTCTCGTCTACACTGATCGGTAAAAAACGTTTAGCAACAAAAACTATGAGCATGAACGTAGTCGTTAGCGCTCATATTGTAGCCGACCAAATTTTTGCCGATACAGTATAGAAAAATAGACTTAAAATCGACACACTGGATAAAGTAGAGCTCTGGGAGCCATAATTGATTTAATACGGTTTATTTATACCATCTGCAATTTTATAACTCATGTTTAATCATATCTTAATGTAGATTTTGTAATTAATGCGAATATATTCGCATTAATTATATATATTCGCATTAATTATATATATATATATATATTAATTGAAGTCTGACTGAGTCTAAGTTATCATATTCTATTAAATCTCACGGTATCTGATTCAGATTGAATTGGTATATTTTCAAAATATCGTGATATTTAAGGCATCCATACCACCAATTTAAATGGAATAAATAAGTTCAACTTAATTATTATTATTATTTATATAACGAATTGTTGAATATTCGTATTATAGCGTTCGTTCAACAACTCTATCTTAAATCTATCAAACATGCTTTTAATAATTCCTATCAATAAATTAACCAACAAAATTCCATTATATATGGCCCATTCCAGAAATTTGTTGGGATTCAACTTTCTTTATGATTACGACCTTTGTTTAGGTGAGGTAGTATATGCCTCGATCTTATATGTTTTAACAAAGCGTCCTTTGACCTAGGATTACAGTCACAATATTCACAGCCATTCTGCCTACTATGAGTCAACATATGCTTTTTCAAAGTTTCAGCTGTCCTCGCTTTATAGTCACAGACAGTACAGTGGTGATGTCTCTCTCCCGTATGTGTCTGCTCGTGTCTAGCAAGATTGCTCGATTGATTCGATTTGTAATCACACAAATTGCATGAATAAGGTTTCTCTCCGGTATGTGTCCGTTTGTGAGTATTAAGACTGCTTGATGTACTTGATTTAAAATCACACAAACTGCATACATATGGTCTCTCTCCTGTGTGTTTCAATTTGTGAATAGCTAGGTGGCTCCTTGTAATCGATTTAAAATCACACAAACTGCACGAATAAGGTCTCTCTCCCGTGTGTGTCCGTTTGTGAATAGTAAGACTGCTCGATTGATTCGATTTATAATCACACAAATTGCAAGAATAAGGTTTCTCTCCGGTGTGTGTCCGTATGTGAGTAGCAAGACTGCTCGATCTACTTGATTTAAATTCACACAAACTGCATGAATATGGTTTATCTCCAGTGTGTGTCCGTATGTGTCTTTCTAACATACCAGGAATATTAGTCCTGTAGTCACACAGTGCACACTTGTGACGTTTGTTAGCAAGCTTGGCAGACTTCTTAGCGGACAGAATAGCTTCTCCAATTGCGTCACCCACATTGCCACGATCAGGCTCGGTATGTACAGGAAAAGATGAGGACTTTCCTGTAGCAAGCCTTGTGTTTGATGGTGTGAGCGGAAGATTGCAATTATCACACTGAAATTCTTTGCAATCCATAGGTTTAGCATTACTATTAGTCAGGGCACCACAGAAAATCTTGACATTTTCCATTTTTACAACGTCACCGTTTCCGACTTTGCTTTTAAAGTGTTCTGATTTAAATTCATCCTGATCAACCGGTACGCCTTCAGGTTCAGCTTTCAAATTGTTATTTTCGGCATCCTTTTCACATTTACAAGTGCATACTGATGATAACCAGGTTGGAATAGTGTTAACTTGCTGGTCATCTGTCATCTCCTCTTTGATATCAACCTTCTCAAGCTTTTCTGTTTTTTGAACCGACATTCCTGTTCGAAAGTATCAAATGAATGTTATGTTGTTAACGTCTTTAGCAAGCAGAATACAAATTATTTGTACAGCTCGAAAGGATCGAGAAGGTACCTATTACTATTATATGTTGTAGTGCCTGAATGAAATTTTATGAAATTTATTGGCGTGTTGAAACTATATTACGATAGGATTATAATTTGTAACAACCCAATCATCAAAAATACTAAGCCAGATAATTAAGCCACAAATTTATTTAGCATTTAACAGAAAATAAAGTACACTCGTCTACTTAATCTATATCTAGGTTTTAATACTTTCAACACTAATATATAACAAATAATTTTAGAATATGAATATGACGTAGAAATGTTGATACGTTATTCAGCTATTTATTTCCATTAGAATCTGTCTTCACTGAGTCTATTCAGAAACAATACGAAATTTGAATGAAAGAAACATCAATAACATTACATGAGACTCATTAAATTAATCCACTACATAGATTTAAGCAGTTTTAAATGACTGGCTAGGTGACAGTTGATAAAAAGAATAAGCATGATATACAAAAAAGTTACACTTTTTGTGGTACACCCTGTACTTATAGACTAAGAATCGCAGAAATAATTACTGAGGATTAAGTGGGTCAAATGTAATAGTGCTCGATATATCAATGTTCAAGTGGTATAATCAAGATTTCTCCCATATTTCGCGGCAAATCGTGAATAGTAATACAGATTTTGGCTCAGTTTATTGCGAAATAGCAAGAATATTTCAGTTTTCCGTGATATGAAACATAGCGAGTTTTTTGCAACGCAACCTTCCCGATAATTTCAAGTCTTCAAAGCTGCAAAGAAAATAGTAGCACATTCCAAATTAATATTTTTCTTGATCAATGTGTTGGAGTGTTTGAATAAATTGGACAAATAAAACAACTGTGTACAGCAATAAATTGGAACCGTTGAGAACAGAAGGGGCCTTAATACAGAACACTGATAATTATTTCAAGGGTGATATGACTAGAAATAAAATCAAAGACAATCTGACGTGAGGGTAACATCATAGGTCAATGTGATGACAGATGATACAAGATAAAGTTGTAAGATTCCTCAAGTCATATTGAGAATACCCGGGTAACGGGTAACCTTTCGGAACTGTTAATCTAATAAGGTGATATGGTTGATCGACTATCAAGTTACACATTCCACTCGGAGTCCGCGACCCCCTCAAAAATTTGGTCGCGGGCCCTGGTCTTGTAACAAATGGTAATGCGATAATTACTATACTCGCCAAAGCTCAAAAGTAGGGTGTGGCATAATCAATGTGATGATTCTACACACAAGTGCGGGGAAGTGCGAAAAGTTTTGTTCGAAAAATGAGCGAGAAAAGGATTATGGGTGACTATTGTGCAGACAATCTGCAGATGACTTAGCTACGAATGGTAAAACTAAACAGTTATCTGAGAAATATCTTTTTAGTGAACTAAGAGTTAGGTTTTGGTTAACTGTATTAGTCATTGGAGTTTTTATAAATTGAGAAAATGTGTCCCTCCTCCCTCATAAATTATCGATGTACACAAACAAGATCACATCTTTTTTATCTGATATCTAATATGTCGTCATATAGGATCATAAATTTTCATCTAATATCGCAAATAAATCAAATACCTTCATTCAATTACTCTCAAAATTCAAATCAGGATTTATTATTTATATCAATTTTTTATTCACATTAACTTATAATCACTTAAGTCACATTAAAAGTCATTTTATCTAGTAACTTGTTATATATGTACCTTAAAATCACTTAATATATGGCATATCGAGGTACCTGGCATAGAGAGGCACGGTATAAAGAGGTTCGACTGTAATAAAGGAATAATTTATCCATTTTACCACACTTTATATTTTGGAAACAAAGTACTGTATAAAACGTTTTTAAATACAGATTGAGAGGCACTTTACAATGTAGAAACCTTATTATCTAAAGAAACCTATATATCTATAATGCCGTAATTAGATTCATTTGTCTTACGAGCGTTGTGAAGGCTACACGACGTCTGAACAACAATGAACAAATGAATTAAGGAATGAACATCAAAATATGCAGCCCAGTTATCTGGTTTGAGGTTTGTGCCAGCTGTATGACATTTGTCGTGCTACTTTGTTCGATGATAGATAACATTAATATTATCCGATTCAGTGCAGGTTCACGGTTAAAGTATTTACTTCATCTCCAGAAAGTCTCCATCTTCTAGAATCTTCTAGAATTTACACCTCGAACAGGGCACTGTTTCCCATTAACAGAACTAGCGTTATTTCTTACCTTCACTCCGCCGACATGTTGCTCCTCTTAGTTGTGCTGGTTTTAGTAGCTTCCGTCCAGCCTAATGAAGATGATAAAGGGTATAATGCCTTACACTTTGGTACTAGCAACAGTGACTATGTGACATTTAGGTTTGATATATCCCCGTTCCGCAACTCGTTCTCTACGTGCATGTGGATAAAGCGTATCTACACCTCCTCCTCCTACCCAATGGTAGCAGACTACTATAGCTCTGGTGGAAATGATCTTATTATAACAGCTAATGGGGCCCAGACGTGTGTAGTACATGATGGTGGTCTGAGTAGCGCATCAAGTAAGTTTGCCACACCCACCGGTAAGTGGTTTAATCTCTGCCTGACCTGGTCTCTATCTTCAACAACAAGTAACCTGTATCTGGATGGTGAACTCGTGGCAACAGACCAGACAGCATCAGGGAAATCACTTACCGCGGGTGGACAGTTGTGGTTTGGCAGAGCCTCTAGTACTTGGACTAATAGTGCTAGTAGAGTATTTGGTGGTGAGTTGTACCAGTATAATATGTTTGCCGAGGTGTTGAGTGCTGCTACAATTAGGAAGATAGCTGATGGTGGGTTGTGTTTTGACTTGGATGGACTTTCTGAGACGAGAGTGTTACGGTGGGTGGACATTATGAAGAAGTCTAGGAGTGGGTCTGTGACGGATACTGATACAGGGTGTAAAAAAACATTGAATAATACGCGTGAGTCACAAGCGAATCTGAACGAAACAGAGACAGAGCTGCGGATGATAAAGGAGCAGTTTGAAACTCTCACTGGACAGTATGAAACTGTTACTGGACAGTTGAACAGGACTGAGGATAAACTTGAAACTGAAACTGGCCGATTTAACGAGTCACAGGCTGAACTAGACACTGTCAGAGGTCGACTGGGAGCTGAAACTGCTGAGCTTAACCAAACAGTAGAGGAACTGGAAACTTGTTCTGTTAATCTTAACAAGACAAAGTCCCAGCTAGACGGTGCCAGAAAGTTTGAGAATATCACTCGGTGGGATGTGTTGTTTACAGCGCCGTATTACAACAAGGTATTCTCAGATGATCTGTACGAAGAGCTGACTACAGGCTGGGACATGTTAAGTGAGTAATCTTCTTTGTTAAAATAACTGCTTCATTAAGACATTCTCTGTATATTTCTAACATACAAACTAACCTATAATTTCCCCCGCAATGCATTGAATTAATTTAAGATTGTCCAGGGAAATTGGTTGGCGTTAACATGACTGATGGGGTAGTCAACCACTTTCGGGAGTACCACTCGGAATCTATGTGCGGCGTCTTCGACCATTTCTCATCCTTTTTGGAAATACTCAGTAAGTTATCAAAACTTTTTAATTTGCCTTAGATGAAACTTTAGAGGTAAAATGGGTTTTATTTCATTTTGGCGTACCACTGACTTTGTTAAACAAGAATGTCCACTTTTTTAATGGCCTTTCTTAATATTTAATATATGGCTGGTAAAAAGAAGACGTAGTTCACCAACCAGATTTAGTTATCAAGTTTCAATTTGAGTATGGAGATTTGTCTTCTACCAACAGATTACCTTCATTGTTCGGTGAGTCTATCAACTCTACAATTTCTCCAACCTTATCAGGCCAGTTTATCGGAGTTGAAATGACAAAGGGGATTGTGGAACACTTTAGAGAATCCTACAACGGCGCAGAATGTGACAACAACACAAAGAGTTAACTCTCGCTTGATACGAATTGCAGATCCGATCAGGGGTTGAACCGCGGATGGAGATTAGATAAGAGACATATTTTTCGTCGGGACTTAATTTTACTTGCCCAGCTAATATTGCATAAATCAAGCTGTGTTACGACGGCCGTTAATCATTTTGAATTGAACACTGTTATTTAATCTTAAACAGTGAACATTTTTTACGGGAGGTTACAAATAATACGTATTACTATTACCTAATTTTTCTTGTTAGTGTTACCTGCTTTCAATTGTTCATTTTATTAGGACATGTGTTAGAACATATTCTGTTCAAATTAAATATCAATTGATGATATCTTGATCAAATCTTCTTTCAGGAAAATTACATCGTTTAATTTTATTCTACGGGAACAGCTGCATAGTTATGACTGATTTATAATACCATACCACTCTAATTTCCACTTAGTAAACGTGTCAATTTAATATTATTAATCTAATAGATTACCTCCCGGCAGGCCCTGACTCATTTCATACCGGAGATAACATTGCTTACAGCTGAGATCTTCTTCCTTGGTCGAGCACACGAAGTTGATGGTGTGACGATAGTGACGTCACTGACAGATACTGACTTCGGTATGTTCAGTATGTTAACCTGCAACATTTTATTAGTTTCTAAGTTTTCGGGTCTAGATTTCCCAAACATTTATTTGAGCAGGCGAATCCACAGAGTGTCCAAATTATTTGACTCTCATTTTCGGATTAAACCTTATTGCCACTTTAAGTTTAAAGATTGAATGTAGCTAGAATTTTACATTCCTAAAAGATATTTGGCATGTGTTTTAGTTATGTGTATGCTTACGATCATTTAATTCAGGATAAAAAATTTACGCTAGTTGCAGCGACACAGAGTTCAATTCTCACCAATCAAGCTCTATTGCTTCACAAACTTTCGCCTGCCCTCTACAATTCGGTGCGTTATATCTCGTTATAATGAACAAAAAATTATATTCTGCCACGTGGCCTTCAACGTCAGATTATGAGAATTTAAAATAAAATTAGGTACCGGAGGTACCACTTTGTTGATTGTTAAAACTAGGTCCTTCTAGTAATGAAATCCAGGACCGTTCCACGATGATTATCATACAGATAAGATTATTCAACATTTTTAATTACTCTTTAAATTCATCTAATTTGTGACGTGGTACAATTTACCGCCACCGGCACGTAACACTTCGTTATTACAGCATACCACGGTGCGGTGGCAAAGCGCTTCATGTTGGTCGTTGGAGTGGAAGCGAGCTGAGTCGGAGGACCTGATAGCGGAACGTACGCGCCTGAAACACGGCGAGATTTCCTATCAGGTGGGAGGTAATGATCAAGTCTTTCAGTTCTTGCTGATGCTAAAAAGGTTAGGAGAGTTTTGTGGTAATTCCTTGAAATCATCATCTTAGACTCAACTGATTTCAGCATTTTTTTTGTCAAACTTGTTAGGAAACTTTGTTTAATATTATTCAACATGTAAAATAAACGTTTAAGAATTTTTTTGATGAATTCAAACAGCCGTCATAGTTGATACTATTACTATTACATATATTTTAGACGACGAAAGATGATCGAGAGAAAATACCTTGAAAAAGCTGCTAAAGTTGGTCACAAAAAGCAGCTGGGACTATAAGTATTTAAAATAGATTATATACTTTTATTATTATACTTTTATAATTATTCTTGATTCTGTGTTCAGACACTTTTCAACAAGATAATCCAGTTAATTATTCGGAGAATTTTCACAATAGATTACTGAGTTTCGATCATGCCACTACAGTAATCGCAGTGACTTTAAAGTTTGTTAGTTGACCTAATCCCCTCTGCTATTTCCCGCAGTATAGTTCCAATTTTTAATTTCCTGTTCATATTTCCAGCCTTCATTTCCCGTTTTACATTTTTAAATCGCCAATCACCAAATCAAGCCGTTGCTTCACAAACTTTCGCCTGCCTTCTACATTCTATAATTCGGTGCGTTATCTCCCGTTCACAGTGCTGGCAAGCACGAGCGGTGTCTTTATTGGGGGTATACTATGTACCCCCTTTACTATTGTACCCCCTTTACAATTATACCCCCTTTACTATTATAACCCCTTTGGTACTCGTCGGAAGCCTCTTTCGTGCACGCGAAGCGTGCACTCCGGCAGGAGTTTTTCAGGCATTAAGACTCTTTGGAAGTCGTTCAGCAGATTTATTTTTAGTTCAAAACATTCTAATTTGATGTCAAAGATGACAGGAATAAAAAATATTTATGTTGAGATTTTTAAGAAATTTGCATAAAATACTCGCCAGCACTGTTATACGAAATTCGGTAAAAAACCCAAAATCGCCATATTCAGGTGCCTTAAAAACCATGTTAAAATTGAGTTAGAGATCTGAAATTTTTCAGGGTGTCTAGACGTTGACCAAATCGACTGCAAAAAAAGTTTCAGGTTTCAGGAGCATCGGGAAATGGGTTTTCTAGAACCCCTGTTTTACGATAGATTGTCGTGATCACAGTGCTGGCAAGCACGACCGTTGCATTTATTGTGGGTATACTATGTTCCCCATTTACTATTATACCCCCTTTACTATTATACCCCCTTTACTATTATACCCCCTTTGAAACACGTTACAAGCCTCTTTTGTGCACGCGAAGCGTGCACTCCGGCCGGAGGCGGCGGCCGAAGGCCGCCGCCTCCGGCAGGAGTTTTCCAGGCACTAATACTCATCGGAAGTCGTTCAGCAGATTTATTTTTAGTTCAAAACATTCTAATTTGATGTCAAAGATGACAGGAATAAAAAATAGTTATGTTGAGATTTTTAAGAAATTTGCATAAAATACTCGCCAGCACTGTTATACGAAATTCGGTAAAAAACCCAAAATCGCCATATTCAGGTGCCTTAAAAACCATGTTAAAATTGAGTTAGAGATCTGAAATTTTTCAGGGTGTCTAGACGTTGACCAAATCGACTGCAAAAAAAGTTTCAGGTTTCAGGAGCATCGGGAAATGGGTTTTCTAGAACCCCTGTTTTACGACAGATTGTCGTGATATATACATATATACATATTTTACCAAAACCCATATTCATGGGTAGAGTGGACCGCTGCCAGTGTCTCTCTTTCCCAAACAAAAGGAAATGATATTAATTTGATTGACCGTTCTCAAATGCAAAATGATACCGAGAATGAAATCGGTCGCTCGCTTTTCCCATTCATTTACAATTGTAATAGATTAAGAAGATCTACCCAAAGGCAGCTGTACTCGGCAATAAAGATTCAATAAACTTCAGCTAATTCAATAAGCAATAACTACTACCCTTACCCCGAAATACTAGGTATCGATCCGAACGCAACCCAAAGAGATTTTTACAGCATCTGACTGATGTAATCAATCGAAATTTATTACAATTCGTAAGCCGTGAATGAATGGAAAAAGCGAGCGACCGATTTCATTCTCGGTATCATTTTGCATTTGAGAACGGTCAATCAAATTAATATCATTTCCTTTTGTTTGGGAAAGAGAGACACTGGCAGCGGTCCACTCTACCCATGAATATGGGTTTTGGTAAAATATCATCTCTTTTTGATTATAATGTCAGGGTACTTTATAAAGTCGAAATATAAACTGATATCTTCATTAATTAATAAGGAGGAAGTTTCAACGATTTCGAAATTTTCCTTTAAAAACATTTCCTTGTGTTTAGGTAAGCATATCGGTCGATCACTGACTGAATATGCCACCTAATACTCATTCAAGTTGGCATTAAATTCATATATAATGACATTAAACTGTCGTGGCAAAGCAGAATTTGTTGGAAATCACGAATGAGCAAAATTCTCACCTTTCGCACGTGCAAACTTTGAGCGGACGTTGCGTGCGCATCCAATATTGAATCGCCGTAAATTTTTGCATGTAATTGTTTTATATATAGCTTGATAAGCATGCAAAGTTTCAAAGTATTTCAAGAAGAACTGTAATCACAACGGCACTCTAAAGTTGACAGAAAATGACGAAAACAGCAATTTTCAGTGATTTTAGCAATTTTCTATCAATTTGGGCGTGTCCCCACGTGTGCAACTTTTCGATTTTCAACTTCAAAACTAGCCTAATGCACAATTTATACCTATAGGAAGCAGAACTGAGCTCCTCAACTCAAGGCATGGCCCAACACCAGAGAATACTAAATCGCAAAATTGACGTTTTTATAAAATAATTCTTCAAAAAAGCACAAACTTCAATGACGAATATCTTTATGAAGGAGCAAGCTAGAAAAACTTTCCGGTAGATTTTCAGAATGCTTGAACAATTATCTAAGATGAAAATCTCCTCAGATTTTGAATAAAATTACTCCTTAATGGTTTAAAATTAATTTTAAAAGTTATTACTTTGTCAAAAATCAAGTTTTAAAAACGGTTAACTTGATGACGTCATCAAGGGGTGTTTATGACGTCAAATAATTTTTTTATACAATGTAAACTAAAGTGTAAACAATTATTTGCAAGACCTGTGGTCGGAAATGGCTTTATCTTTTATACTTTTGAATCTATGGACAATTAAATACAGGCTACAATTGACTGGCAAAGCGTCTATCCCTGAATATGTATATATATATATATCACGACAATCTGTCGTAAAACAGGGGTTCTAGAAAACCCATTTCCCGATACTCCTGAAACCTGAAACTTTTTTTGCAGTCGATTTGATCAACGTCTAGACGCCCTGAAAAATTTCAGATCTCTAACTCAATTTTAACATGGTTTTTAAGGCACCTGAATATGGCGATTTTGGGTTTTTTACCGAATTTCGTATAACAGTGCTGGCGAGTATTTTATGCAAATTTCTTAAAAATCTCAACATAACTATTTTTTATTCCTGTCATCTTTGACATCAAATTAGAATGTTTTGAACTAAAAATAATTCTGCTTAACGACTTCCGATGAGTCTTAATGCCTGGAAAACTCCTGCCGGAGGCGGCGGCCTTCGGCCGCCGCCTCCGGCCGGAGT